CGCCCATCTATCTGAGCTGATGACTTTCAACATGCTGGACTACGAGTACAAATGGCCCGAGGTGGTAGAGATCTAGCAGAAGCAAAAAAATAGAAGACCCGCGAAAACACATGCCCCATACAAGCCATGTGCAGGAAAAGGTAAGGCAATAGTTGAGTCGTCTGATGGTAGCGAGAACGAGCACGCATGTGACTGAATGACTGTATAAATTAATTGTCTAGTTGTTGACTGTAATAGTTTAGTCTTTGCAAAAAACTGTCAGTGTACAAAAAATATCCACACAGCAGGTGCAGGGTAAATTTTTCAAAAACTGAAGTTACACTGCTCCATCAGTGTAATGATAAAATACACTGCTCATAAGGGTTTTTAAAAAGGCTACACTGCCAATCGTGAGTTGGCAAAATCCAAAACGAAGCCCTGCCTACAAGGGCAGCATCTCCAGAACCAGCACGCCTAGCAGCAACACCCCAAACTCCACATCGACCGGTTGAAGTGGTGACAATGGCTGAGGTTGCAGCGGCAACAAAGGCTAATGCGGTGACTGCGAAGACGAGGCCGGTAACGGCAGAGACTACGGCAACGGCTGCGGCGGGGGACGGGGGTGGGGTGGGGGGGGGGGGACGGCGAAGGTGCCGTTGTCAAGATAGCAAGCAGGAATGACTGCATTAGATGAATTGTGGGTACAAGTACTAACCCTAACATTGGGTTGTACCCCATATGGGCTACCCCACTATAGCCTACACAGAACTAACACATATATAGTTTGACACACCCCCATAGGCAAAGTGGGGGAGAACAAGAGGTCACAAGACCAGTCAAGAAAAGCAAAGCAAGCTCAAGGTGGATCACAACGTCACCACACACTCCGAGCACAAGCAAAGGGCCACAAGGCCAGTTCACATGCAGAGGTATATATGCAACAATAACAGTACAGTGATCACTACCTAGCAGAAGTAGGCATCCAGGTATACAAAATAGATCACAGTACAAGCAAAGTCAAGAGGTGAGCAACTGAGACCATGTAGGCACAAGTCCTAGAACAGTACAGAACCGCTGATGATCACAAGGCTGAAGTGCCTTAGTGAAGATATCAGCAGTGTTGGCCCGAGAGGCCATGTAAGCAAGACGAAGTTGTCCACGCTGCTGCAACTCTTGAGCAAGGAAGTAACGCAGAGCGATGTGCGTCGTTCTGTGCTCCAGTCGGTGCTCCTGATACAAGGCAATCATGGCCTTGTTGTCAACGTACAGAACTGGAGGAGAACGAGGCGGCCCTCCCAAGTCGGTTAGCATGTAGGTGAGCCAGCGTAACTCCTGTGCAGCCATGGCCCCTGCGTAGATCTCAGCCTCACAACTGGAATTGAGAACAGAAGACGAGCGGGTAGACCGCCAGGAAACAGAGCCGGAGCCAAGAGTGAAGGTGTAACCCTGTGACGACCGCTGCGTAGCCAAGTCGTCAACCCAAGAAGCGTCTGCGTGACCAGTGAGGACAACTCGAGCTCGTCCTCCAAGCACGAGCCCCATGCCCGACGTACTGCACAAGTAGCGCAACACCCTCTTAGCGGCCTCCCAATGCTCTGGTCGGTGTCTCCCGGTCGCAACGTAGCGTGCCAGGATGCTAAGAGGGTAAGCAAGGTCAGGTCGAGTGCAGGTCATCAGGTACATGAGGCAGCCCACAAGCTCTGGATATGGGCCACTTGGCTCTACGGACTGATCCCAAGGCAGAGCTGAGAGCGAGTGACCAGTACGCAGAGGAGTGGACTATGGCGAGGAGTACGTGAAGCGGAAGCGCTGAAGGACCTATTGCAACATGTGTGACTGAGTCAGGGTGATGGTGCGCCGTGCTGTGTCCCGGGTGATCTGCAAGCCAAGATAGCTGCGCAGCTCTCCCAGGTCTGTGCACGTGTGTCTCTTTTGCAGCTCCGACTTCACGTGGGCAAGTCCCTCAGTGTCAGCAGTGGCAAAGACCAAGTTGTTGACGTACACGAGGATGTAGAACGGCGGCAACGAAGTGTCGGTGTGCAGAAACAGCGATAGGTCAGCATTCGAAGAAGCAAACCCAAGAGCTGCAAGCGTCGTCCTCAGTGTGTTGTGCCATTCGCGAGGCGCCTGACGGAGACCGTAGACTGGCCGCTGGAGGCTCCACTGGGTACCTGCAGGAAACGACCCAGTGAAGCCAGGTGGGCGGCGCAGCCAGATCTCCTCGTGCAGGCTGCCCTGCAAGAAAGCTGTGCTGAAGTCAAGAGAGTGAGGCTCGTAGTCACGCTGAGCGGCGACGTGCAGCAGAACCCGAAGAGTGATCATCTTCGGGGTAGGGGAGAATGTTTGGAAGAAGTCAACTCCCTGTCTCTGACTGAAGCCTCGTGCAATGTAACGCGCCTTGAAGACAGGCGGAGAACCCGGCGGCCGCTTCACCTTGAAAATCCACATGCCACTGACGATGTTCGCCCCAGGTGGGGGAACTGCGTCAACGGAAGTGCCTATGGACTTCCAGGATGCCATCTCTGCGTCCATGGCTGACTGTCACTGAGAGGAGTAGGGACCCTCAATCGCCTCTACGTAAGAGTGCAGGGTCGGGATGTCTGGTGCATCCGGGTCTCCCTCAGGTGCAATCGGCATGGCCATGAGATGAGGTAAAGCAGCTGCAAAACACTCAAAGTCCTCCTACCTATCCTCAAGGGCGTCCGTGCCAAGAGCACACTCACCCTCGACGGACGGAGGACAGGCAGACTCAGACTCAGCAACAAGACTAGCGGCGTAGTCGAAACGACAAGCAGCAGCAAAGTCGACAAGCTCAGCAACTAAGGCAGACGCAGCAGTGGACTCAAACGAAAGGTCAGTGACAACAGTGGCTAAGAGACGCGTAACAGTAGGACTGGCAGCACGAACTAGGTCAGACTCAGGGTCCGGAACGTACGGAAGAGAGGACCCAGGATGAGACGGCAAGGGAACGCGATGTGGAACAGAGGAAGGATGAAGTGCCATAGTGTGCGTGCCGGGGACAGGAGGAGGACGCTCACGAGGAACACGACGACCCGTGTGACCAGTGTGAACAGGCGAGGCAGGACGAGACGCAGGCTCACGATGCTCTGTAAGCGAGTCTCTCTGCTCAGTGTAATGAGAAGGAGCAGGCAGTGGAGAGCCTGGCTGTAACGAGAGACCAGTAGAAGACGGGAGGCTAAGAACCTGTCGATGCACGGAGTCAGGCGGTGGCAGAGACGACGGTGACGGCGGAGCGAAGAACAGTCGCGGCTGTGCAGTACCACCAGCACTAGTACCACCAGCACCAGCACCTCCAGTACGAGTACCAACAGCTCCATCGCCTCCTGCAGCTCCAGAATCTCCAGCTCCAGCGCCTCTAGCTCCAGCGCCTCCAGCTCCAGTACCTCCAGCTCCAGCGCCTCCAGCTCCAGCGCCTCCAGCGCCAGCGCCTCCAGCTCCAAAGCCCGTAGCACCACAAGCTCCGGCAGCTCCAGCACCTCCAGGACGAGCACCAGCAGCTCCAGCTCCTCCAGCTGCTCCAGAACCTCCAGCTCCAAAGCCTCCAGCAGTAGCACCCCCAAAAACGGCACCTCCAGCTCCAGGGTCTCCTACTCCATGGTCGACAGGACCAGCTCCAGGGCCTCCAGCTCTAGTGTCTCCAGCAGCAGCTCCCTCAGAACCGGCACCTCCAGCTCCAGGGTCTCCAACTCCAGGGTCGACAGCACCAGCTCCAGGGCCTCTAGCTCCAGTGGCCCCAGCAGCAGCACCCCCAGAATCGGCACCTCCAGCTCCAGGGTCCCCAGCTCCAGCGCCTCCAGCTCCAGTGCCTCCAGCTCCGGCACCTCCCTCCAGCTCCAGCTGCGCGACTCCGAAGGCGGGTGCGCGAAGCCAGCCACTCGCGCAGCTGCTGCGGCGAGAGAGGTGACCGCTGCGACGCGGCACCAAGAGGACCTCCAGCAGATTCAGCACCCCTAGGCTCAGCGCCAACAGACTCCGTACACCCGGGGCCAGCACCTCGAGGGCCAGCACCTCCAGCTCCAAGGTCTCGAACTCCAACGCGCGGGTCTCCAGCTCCAGTGCCTCCAGTACTACGGACCCCGGCAGCTCGAGTACCTCCAGGACGAGCACCTCCAGGACCCTCAGCGCCAGCAGTACCAGCACCTCCAGCTCCAGCAGTACCACCCGTCCTGGCAGCTCCAGTACCTCCAGTACGAGCACCTCCAGAACCAGAAACACCAGCACTCCCAGCGCCTCCACGACGAGCAGCTCCAACCGCAGCACCTCGAGCTGCAGTACCTCCAGCAGCAGGACCTCCAGCTCTAGCAGCACGACTTCTCAGGCGGGTACGCCACGCAAGCCACTCTCGTAGCTGCTGTGGTGAGAGAGGCCCCCGTCGTGAAAAGAGACCCCCAGACTCATCACCCCCAGACCCGGCACCCTCCGGCTCAGCACCCCCAGGCTCCGCACTCGTAGGCTTAGCACCCCCAGGCTCCGCACTCGCAGGCTCAGCACCCCTAGGCTCCGCACCCCCCAGCACCTCATGCATAGGCTCAGCACCCCCAGACGCAGTACCTCGAGCAGCACCACCCGCAGCAGCACCTGAATCGCTAGTGACCTCTACAGGCTCAGCCAAGGGGAGTGGGTCTACCTGAGACACACCTGAAGGAGCAGGACCCTGAGGGGGGAGGGGATCTACCGGAGGGGGACCTGGAGTGAGAAAAAGCGGCCGCAGGAGGCACACCCGCACGAACCGGGCCTCGAGAGTCAGCAGTCTTTCCCACAGGCTCAACCAAGGGAAGGGGGGTGAGCATGCGACACACCAGACGGGGTAGGGCATGGTAAGGCGCAGCAACGCGCGCGGCAGGCCTGGCGAAGGCATGGTAGGGAGCGTAGCATTGTGCAGAAGCCGCGCGGCAGGGCACTGCAGACGCGTAGCGGAGCACATCAGGAGCGAATACAGCAGGCGCGGGCGCGGGAGCTGTTGGCACATTAGTGGTAGGGTGCACTGCAAGCGAGCTGCAATGTGCGCAACTAGCGTAAGCGCGCCAGGCGCATGTGTGGTGGCGGCAAGTGTGAGCACGGGAGCAGTGGGGCGCGACAGCGTGCAGGGCTCGCAAGGCAGCGTGCGGGGCTCGCACGGCAGCGAGCTTGTCGTGCGCAGTAGCGGGAAGGGCGCGAGCACGACAGCATGCACTACAGGCGCGGACGCAATCGTAGGCAGGGCACAAGCCTAGCAGTGGGCGACGGCGATGGGGTGCAAGTAGGGTGCGATGTGGCTGCGAATGCCGCGGTTGGGGCGCGACGGGGCTGCTAGGGGGAGCGATTAGGGAAGTGGGTGGGGCCGTGAGGACACTTGTGGGGAGGGGGGGGAGGAGGGTGGGGTAGGCAGGGCGGAACTTAAACCCGACCGAAGTGTGCGTTGACTGTGCACCCCCATTTAAATGCCTTCTGAATTGGTTAATCTGACACCCAGCAGACGTATAGTGTGGATGATGCAAAGCTCCCGTTTAGTGGAGTTTGGAGAATTTGCGTCGCTGTTGTTTTCCAACCACACGAGCTGTAACTGCATCTTGAGACAAGGATTAACGCCTGGTTACACAGCTGAAGTTAAGAATATGCCACTACCCTTCCAGGACCCCTCCTCACCCTTTCCTTTTCACTTCGAAGTATTTTGTTACCCCCAACTCATTTGTACGATACCGTATAAGAGGTCCCTCCTGAAGATACATCTGAGATAGTCCATGATGTTGCCAAAAAGAAAATGTCGTTCAGCGTAATCAAGCTGTTACTGGTAGGCGGTTGGTGGGAACTGAGCATGGTTTCGGTAATGCTGATTGGGTTGTGGATCCTAGGCATGGTGCGTGGCGGAAAGTGAGCGTAAGGAAATAGAGCTGTGTGTGTGTGTGTGTGTGTGTGTGTGTGTGTGTGTGTGTGTGTGTGTGTGTCTGTGTGTGTGTGTGCATCTGAGTGTGTGTGTGTGTGAGAGAGCGAGAGAGAGAGAGAGAGAGAGAGAGAGAGAGAGAGTGTGTCTGAGAGCGAGAGAGTGAGAGAGACAGAGAGTGAGAGACGGAAAAAGAAAGAGAGGGGGGGGGGGAGACAAGAGAAGGGTGAAGGTGAATATGGAGAAGGGAACGGGGTAGGGAAAGAGAAATGCACGAGGGAAGGGAATGACTGTAAGGTGGTACTCATGAGGTGAAAGATTGCATTTATAGGATGGACAGGGGAACGGGGACGAGAAGAGAAAGACTGGAGTAACATGGGCAAACAAGGAAGTCGAACATGGAACAGAGTTTAGGGCGAACGAGGAGGAGGGGATATTAAAGAGAACGAATCAGGGGGACAGATCGGCAAGGAAGGGGAAAACGGGAGGATGGGAGGGGAGAGAAGGACGAGGGGCAGACGGAGGGGACGGGACAAGGTGGGGACGGGAGAGACAGGGATGGAAGACGGAAAATCAACAGTCAAGAGAGGAGGGAGTGAGTTCAGGAGGAGGAAAATGGCGGAAAAAAAGTGGTGAAGGAACAAAGTTGAAGAAGCAGAGGGGGGGACTGGGCAGACGTGAGAGACGGGGAAAGAGGCCACGAGGGAAGGAGAAAGAAGTGGATGAGAGAGATAAACAGGGGTGAAGGGAAAGTTGCTTGCAGGGGATAAGGGCAGGCGGGGTTTCGGGTAGTGAGAGGAGGGATGGAGAGGAGGAACTTGTGAGGGAGAACGTGGCAAGGGAGGAGGATGAGCGGACGGCGGACGGGGAGGAGAAACTGTGGAGAATGTGGGGGAAAGGGGGATAATTGACGCTATAACAAGGGGAGGGGGTGGGAGGGAGTGGGAGAAGAGGAGGAGGAGGAGGAGGAGGAGGAGGAGGAGGAGGAGGAGGAGGAGGAGGAGGAGGAGGAGGAGGAGGAGGAGGAGGAGGAGGAGGAGGAGGAGGAGGGGGGGGGGGGGGGGGGAGGAGGAGGAGGGGGGGGGGAGGGGGGTGGAGGAGGAGGAGGAGGAGGAGGAGGAGGAGGAGGAGGAGGAGGAGGAGGAGGAGGAGGAGGAGGAGGAGGAGGAGGGGGGGGGAGGAGGAGGAGGAGGGGGAGAAGTTGAAAGCGTAAGGTGCAGCAATCAAATACCGTCTACCGTTCTGCCAATTGGCCCTCTTGCTCCAATGTTCCCTCTACAGGCTTACAACTTTAACGGCAGTTGAGCGCCCAATTAGAAAAGAGTACTGAACTGAAAAGTCTTCATCACATATCCGACAAAAAATGGAAATGAACTGAAGCCTACAAGCATTACCATACACACTCGTGCTCAACAGCTGCCCTTTCCCCCCAAAACCCCCCTCCACCACCACAGTCTTCTTTCCGCTCCACCTTACAGCGAATCTAGTAGTCCAAAATAAGAAATAACCAATGAGAGGCTAATTCCCCTGGTAAGCTTACGCCTAATAAAGCGTACAAGCAAATTACAAACCTGCAAACAGAATCTCCTAACGAAGAATCAGTACTGTTGCTCCTCAAGCTCCATGATCTGATTATACGCTCCTCGGTACTGCAACCGGACTCGCATAGTCTGCGTCCATCGATGAAACTCGATCTCGTCGCCGTCTCGATACAAGGGGCTCCGCTTCTCCAGATCTTCCGCAGCCTCGGCCGACTTCATTATAATCACCGCGTCTCCGCTAACACAAAAGGTTATGTGTTCCGCGAGGCAAAACGAGCTCCCGTTAGAGGAATTAGCATCGACGAGTACGCTTTCCAGCCACTTGGTCTTGGCTTGTCGGTCGTGCTCGAAGAGTGTTGGGAATAAGGCGATGATGCCTCGTTCCTTAAGCTCTGGATGCGTACGCTCGTACGCATCTAGCTTTATGAGCTTCGGAACAATTAAGACTACCATTGCGAGGGGTAAAAGAATGGTAGATGGTGAGAGAGTGGGTGCGAGACGAAGGGTAGTCGTTGACGACGATTCCTTCAACGATCAGCCGGAACAATTATCTTCTAATGAAACAAAGAAGAGCGCTCTTGAGACTAGTGACGACCACGTTGAGAGGCACAAGTTGAGAAGGGGAATCAAGCAAGAACAGATGTGGATCGTCTGCTCTCTGACACAGCGATCTGAAGACAGTAATAATAATGAAGAATCTCACGAGAGAAGCAGAGCAATGGAAAGGAAGAGGGATCTGGTGGAGGGCATGTGCTTTTGGTTCGACACGAACGCGTTCCACTCAAATAGCCGTCAGGCTCGGTTTCTCCAAACGAGAATGCTCTCTGACACAACGAGGTGTCGCATCTGGCCTGTCAAACCCGACGTTTTGTTTTTCTGCAGTCTCTTTTTTGGGTCAGTATTATTCTACACCCAGGAATAAGATGTTTTCACTTCACCACCCAGCTGTAGCATATTTAACGTTGAAGGCCAATTAGAAACACAATAATGCATACGAACGGGAATCATGCTTGGCGTCTCATTGCTGATGTGAGTGAAAAGGTTGAAGTACCGAACCAACCAGTATCCCAGGCGCCGTCCATGAGAGCCACCTCACCTTTCGTCGCCCAGAAAACATCGCTTTAGGCTACGTGTCCCTTCGAGATTGTTCCATCCAACCGAGCTTCTCACTTCTCCCCACCAGTCGCTGAGCGAAGCGAGCCTGCGTGAGATAGTATACAGCATAACAAATAATAAATTTAGCATGCACAAGTACCCTTCTATAAGTGCAGAACCTTTGGTTGCCATATTATGATGTTTCAGGGATATCACAAACCAGGAACCAGAGGCGTTGACACGATCAAATTTTAAGTACACCTGTTGCGACCGTTTAGAGCAGTGAATTCTCGCCTTCTTATATGAACGTCGGTATTCATTGTATAGTACTGATTATATTTATTGGTGTTTTGCAGCCAGCTCCATACGCAGTACACGCGATTCTCAAACCATTCTCACACGTCATGGCTTCGTGTGGCGTCCACCTCCTTCTGGTAGTTTGACACGAAGGCACCGCGCACGTATGGAGAAACTTGAACAGCCAACCATATCGCTTCCAAGCAGGCCATAGCCGAACCTTGAAAGCTTCAAGAAGTGGTATGGATTTGGCTCGAGGTTCGGGGTTCGTCGCTACCCAATCATATACCCACCCCAAGCAAGCTTGAGCTTGCTCTGGTTCTCCAGACCAAAAGATGGCATGGCTAGATAAGTGCGGAGAGCTAGATAGTTAGGGACTGTCAAAACATCCTCTAAGCTGAACCTCTCCCTCCCTCCGTTTCCATCTGACGCTGCTACTAATTTGGGCGAAGAATCCAGTTGTCGCGTATCCTTTGAACAGCCACCTTCCTGTATCACCTTTCTCCTCGTCCAATAGCAGCATCGACGGGGAGTGGACAGGCGGCTTGACCGATAGGCCGGACGAATGACTGCTTGAGTCGTCCCTCTATTGCGTCCGTCCGACTGATTGCCTGGTGGGTTCACGTCTGGTGAGGAAGTGTAATGGGTAGCTACGTGCTAGGTGAGGTAAATTCGGTCACTGGCGACGAGTGCGTCAAGTTAAATTAGTGAATTCGGCGTTTTGCAGACGGCAATCATTTGAGTTAATCCGAGTCAATACGATATTAGTTCCGTGCAGGTACGGGAAATTAAGCATGGGTTTCAGCTGCCTCCTCTGCTACCGCTGTCGCTGGTAGCATAACCGTTTGCCGCGGCCGTTGCCGTTAGTGGAATTTGAGGCGTCGCCGCTGTTGCTTCATGCCAATAATCTGACTTACCAGTCGCGTTCAATTGCTTCCTCGATCTGTGGCCGTCGGTGAAGTCAGATGCGTCGCTGTTCCATTCCGTGCTAGTACTGATTTCACGTCAATTTCCTCCGCGGCTCGGCATGCACAACAGGCATTTAGTAGCAACCTTTTTTTTCCCGAAATCCGCTCAAAAGCTGATAAATGATCGTTTACTATCGGTCAACTCTCGGTAAATTATTTTTATACACATTGTTGCAAGGGTCGTTACCATTGTGCCTGCCTGGCAGCAGCCACGTGGGCGCTCTGCTGACTTTTGAGTCGACTCAAAAGTCGCTTTTTCTTGTTCTGTTCTGCCGCTGCTGCAGTTAACCGAGCCATTGCGCGGGGCAGCAGCCATGGGGGCGCTCTGCTGCTGCCCGCGGTTGGACGATTTCGACGACGCGGGGGGGTATGGCGCCGCTGCTAGAGCAGGCGGTAACGGTCGCATGGGAGGAGCAGGAGGAGGGGGAGGGGGAGGAGGAGGAGCAGCGGCGGCGGTGTCTCGGTGTCTGCTGCTACAGCAGTGCCTCTGCTTGCACTGCCTCGTTCGATGGCTGCTTCAGTCCGTACGTGTAACGTGCCTTTCTGTGTGACCCACCACAGTTCTGTTGATTGGAGTCACTTTGAGAATGCTCAAAAGCAGTGCCTCTGCTTGCACTGCCTCGTTCGCTCGCTGCTGCAGTCTGTACATGCCTTTCTGCGACCCCAAGGTTCTTCGTCTGGTTGGACTAAACCGTTCTAGGCTTGTTTATTCGTTGCACCCCTATCTCAAACGCCTCTTGCCTTGCTCAATCTCCCCGTCCATGTCCCTTTCTCCCTCGCTCCGTCCCTCCCTTCCTCGTTCCCTGACTTACTCCCTCCCTCCCTCTCTCCCTCCCTCTCTCCCTCCCTCCCTCCCTCCCTCCCTCCCTCCCTCCCTCTCTCCCTCCCTCCCTCCCTCCCTCCCTCCCTCCCTCCCTCCCTCCCTCCCTCCCTCCCTCCCTCCCTCCCTCTCTCCCCCGGTACCTCCTCTCTCACAGTACGTCAGGGTTCGTTCTCAAATCGATGGTCGTCCCATTCCAGATCCATCCGATCCCTCCTCCTCCTCCACCCCCCTCCACGCCCCCGCTCCCTCCTCTGCTTCCTCCTCTTCTTCAGCCATCCTCTCCCCCTCCTCCTCCTCTTCCTCTCACCATCACCACCATCAACAACACCAGCACCACCAATACCACGGCAGTACCTTCTCCTCCTCCCCTTCCCCTCCCTCCTCGTCCTCCCGCTCCTTACCATCCGCATCTGAAATTTTCCCAGATACATTCCGTGCGCCTGCGCCCCCTCTTCCGTTCTCATATGACATGGGGGGTTCACACTCCCGTGATGCTGCATGGTCCAGGAGGGGTGGGAGAGGGGGGGTGGGAGAGCAGAGTGTAGCGGAGAGTAGATGGGGGAAACGAGACGGTGGAATTGCGTTTGCTGGTGCTGGTGCTGGCGCTGCTGCTGCTCCTGGAGTTTCCAGTGGTGGTGATGGCGCCGGTGCTGGTGCCGCTGCTGCTGGTGCCGATGGTGGTAGTGGTGATAGGATGTGGTTGACAGGTAAAGGCAGTGCTCGATCCAGGAACAGCAGCACCAGCAGCAGCAGCAGCAGCAGCAGCAGCAGCAGCAGCAGCAGCAGCAATAATGGCAATGGCAGTGGTGCTTGCAGCGAAACTCTGGATTCCCGTTCCCCTTCTGTTCCGTTTCTCCAGAGGCGCGTTGCGGCCGCAGCAGCTGCTGCTGCCGCTGCAGCGGCCGCTGCAGGCTCGGCCGCAGCCTCAGCGGCAGCAGCAGCCGCGGCTGCTGCAGCTTCGGCGGCAGGCGAGGAGAGAGGAGACAGGGACGGGTCGAGGGAACCACTGATAAAATCCAGGCTTGAGTCCAGCCGAACTGCTGGTGCTGCTTCTGACACTTCTGCTGCTGCTGGTAGTGGTGGTGGTGGTGGTGGTGGTGGTGGTGGTGGAGGTAATACTGCTGCTGCTGCTGGTTCTCGTGGTGGTGGTGGTGGTGGTGGTGGTGGTGGTGGTGGTGGTGTGGGAGGGTCGGTTTCGCCCTCAACCATGGCTCCTTTTCATGTGGAAGGACCAGATGCATCTGGACTGATGCGCTTGCCCGGGACAGAAGGGTTTCCTGCTGCTGCTGCTGCTGCTGCTGCTGGTGCGGCTGGCCGTGATAGTGCCAGTGGTGCTGATCGTAGCAGTGGGGGTAGTGGATGCAGGGGAGTTGGTGGTGCGGGTGGTGGTGGTGAAGAGGAAGAAGCAGCACCGTCGACAGCTCTGGCATGGTATCTTTCTCGGGTCGCATCGGCCACATCTCTTGCTGATGAGGACTGCTGCCCCACCTGCCTTGAAGGTCAGTACTGCGGTGACACTTGAGTCGACTCAAAAGACATCTCTTGCTGATGAGGACTGCTGCCCCACCTGCCTTGAAGGTCAGTGCTGTTCGTCTCTGTAAGTTTTCTTGTTTGTGTGTGTTGATGTGTGTGGGTGTGTGGGACGAGAGCGGGGAGGGGGGAAGGGTGCGCATGCGCATATGTGTGTGTGTGCGCGCGAGCGCGCCCGTGCTTGTGTGTGAGTTTAATTCCAAGGAATAACAAATTTACAAGAAACAAAGAATCGGGAAAACTAGCCTACTTTTGATTCGGACTCGAAATGGCAAAGGAGTTCTCTCCCTCCCACCTTGCTACACCCGTCTGACCACACCCTTCTCTCGCTCTCCCTCCCTCCGTTCCTCCGCTTCTTTCAACCTACCAATTCCTGTGCAGACCACACAGTGGTCTTTTAGTTTAGGCACCTCAGAATTCCCTCAACGCCTCAACCCCGCAACCTCCCAACCAACCCGGCAACCAACCAACCCCCTGCGCAGGGTACACGGAGGAGAATCCGCGCATCACCACGGAGTGCGCCCACCACTTTCATCTGGGATGCATCTACGAGTGGATGGAACGCTCTAACCTCTGCCCTGTGTGCAGCAAGGTGGGTGTTGTTGCTGTTGCTGTTGCTGTTGCTGTTGCTGTTGCAATGGCTCACGTGAGCGCACGTTTCTAGGAGAGGCTCTTGTGAAGAGGTTCTGGTTTGGAAAAGGGGCAGAGGGGGAGCGTGCCCCACCACTTCCCGCCTGGGGAGTGCATCGACAAGTGGATGGAACGCTCTAGCCTCGCCCTGTGTGCCGCAAGGTGGGTGGCTCAGTGGCACGCTAGGAAGTGAAGAGGTGGTTATGGATGCTCAGTGGCGCATGCACGGGTCTATTGATGCAGTGCATGTGCATCTCCTCCTAGACTATGCTCAGTTTGGCAACAAGTGGATGCCGTGATCTGGCATCTGTGGCCTGCCCTCTCTGCCTGCCCTCTCTGCCTGCCCTCTCTGCCTGCCCTCTCTGCCTGCCCTCTCTGCCTGCCCTCTCTGCCTGCCCTCTCTGCCTGCCCTCTCTGCCTGCCCTCTCTGCCTGCCCTCTCGGCCTGCCCTCTCTGCCTGCCCTCTCGGCCTGCCCTCTCGGCCTGCCCTCTCTGCCTGCCCTCTCTGCCTGCCCTCTCTGCCTGCCCTCTCTGCCTGCCCTCTCTGCCTGCCCTCTCTGCCTGCCCTCTCTGCCTGCCCTCTCTGCCTGCCCTCTCTGCCTGCCCTCTCTGCCTGCCCTCTCGGCCTGCCCTCTCTGCCTGCCCTCTCGGCCTGCCCTCTCTGCCTGCCCTCTCTGCCTGCCCTCTCTGCCTGCCCTCTCTGCCTGCCCTCTCTGCCTGCCCTCTCTGCCTGCCCTCTCTGCCTGCCCTCTCTGCCTGCCCTCTCTGCCTGCCCTCTCTGCCTGCCCTCTCTGCCTGCCCTCTCTGCCTGCCCTCTCTGCCTGCCCTCTCTGCCTGCCCTCTCTGCCTGCCCTCTCTGCCTGCCCTCTCTGTTCTACGAGTCGAGGATTGCGAGAGTCCAATGTGGGCCTCAGTTATACCATCAGTTTGCATATCGAGATGATAATTTGAGTCAATCCAAAAAGTTACACCGGCAGTTTGCTTATCACGGTTGAGCTGACACATGGAGGTACACCTGCATCTGTGGCCTGCTCACCAGTTATCACGGTTGAGCTGACACATGGAGGTACACCTGCATCTGTGGCCTGCTCACCAGTTATCACGGTTGAGCTGACACATGGAGGAGACCTGTTTTTGCTGTCTGTTACAGGAGATGAAGTTCAATGAGTTCATGACTTAGCAGGCTACAACCCCGCTCTCAACTGCTCCTTCAAGGTATCCCGGCTCTCTCTTTTTTCTACCTCTTCCCACCTTTCCCCACCTCTCCTCCCCTCCCTCCCACTCCTTCTGGCAACCCCTCCCTTGTTTTCTTTTCCGCTTAGTTTCGCTTACGCTTTGTCCTGCGCAGTCCATGTTTCCTCTGTCTACCCCTCAGTGTCTCCCCTTTGCGGCCTCCCTCCCCACCTCTTATCCCCCCTCGTATCCCCTACCCCCTCACACAAAATACCGCTTGTTCTGATTGTTGTCCTGCATTAGCACACATAATGCTTTATTGACCCACCAATTGCCTCCTTTTCCCTTTCACCCTCCCACTCCACCTTCCCGTCCCCTTCCCCTTCCCCCTCCACCTTCCCCACCCCCTCCCCCTACCCCTCTCCCTCTCCCACTCCCCCCCTCCTCCTCCCCCTCCCCCTCCCCCTCCTCGTCTCCCTCCCCCTCCCCGTCTCCCTCCCCCTCCCCCTCGCTCTCCCCCTCCGCCCCTCTCCGCTCCCCCTTCCCCTCGCCCTTCCACTTTCCCTCCCCTCTCCCTCTCGCTCCCCTTTCTCTCCCACCTCCTACTCAGAGCATGACCAGCCGTGTCTCAACAAACACATGACCTGCCCGTCTGCCACAGAGCACTGCCAGGCTCTCTGTGTGGCAGCTTCCGGGAGGGAAGGTAACAGGTCACAGCAGCATAATCTCTGTACATGGTCTCATCGCATCGCATCGCATTCACGAATCATACCCTGGGTGCCAGTGCGGCTGGTACGATACTCTGCACTGCCTGTCTGCCTCGGAATGAAAATGGACCGAAGACACCTCAACAGCCAGCCATGGCGCTAGTCTACGGAAGGCTGATATACTGTAGAGCCTGTGGATAGATGGCATGCAATATCACGAGAAGTGGCCTATAGATTTGATAAAACGGCACAGTACAGTACATGTGCGCAGACCGGTGCCTCAGTGCCTATTTGCATTGTATATAAGGACAAGGTACTGCTCAGTATACGTGATGCTTGGCATCTTACCGTAATGTGCCTTCCTACAGCATGCTGTGTCAATATGGTATCAGATTCTTACCTGTAACTGAGCCACTTCAAAAAATAAAAGAAAGTGTAGATGGTACTGCATATAGAGTAACAAGCCTGTTCACTGATCCATTATGGGCCACCTATTGAGAGCTGATACAGAGACTGTGAACCCTGAATAGTCTGAATGCTCCACACAAGTACCAGAAGTTCCACAAACTCAACAGCAAAAGTAGAAATGTTTCATCAGAAGTAAAGGACTCATACTATCCTATAGCAGGACTGTCTTATTCACTGTAGTGACCAGTCAGTCACAGATCTAGAAGCAGGCATGGCACCACCTATCACATTGGAGCAGGTTCAATAAGATTCTCTATCTAGACTACCCATATGCATATCCCTCACCAACACAACCACACACACATACACACACACACACACACACACACACACACACACACACACACACACACACACACACACACACACACACACACACAAAACCATCAGCACCCACACTGGCAAATAACCACCCTTGATGCTCTAAACTTCCCCCAAGCCTATCCCCACATCCTGTGTCCCATCCCCGGTCCCATCAACCATCACCAATCCCACACCCCATCCCACATCCAACCCCCATTCATAACACCACTTTAAATCCCGAATCCCACACTGATTGCAACACCACGGCCCTTACGACTGAAACGGAACCCTAAAATCCCGATGCACTAGGTGACACATCCCTTCTTCACACTCCCTCAACGCCCGTACCTCGCATTCCCCTCGTACTCCCCCCAAAAAGAGCCCATATATCCCCATTAATCAGCAGCTAGAGGTCCCCCAAACCGCGCTTCTATTGGGGCGTACCTTGCTGCAGCCAGCACCATATTGTGGAGGGATTTTGGGGTGGAAGAATCAAGAATCAGACGCCCCCCATATCCCCATTCTTCTGAAAATCCCCCCCATATCCCCATTCTTCTGAAAATCCCCCCCATATCCCCATTCTTCTGAAAATCCCCCCCATATCCCCATTCTTCTGAAAATCCCCCCCAAATCTCCGTTCTCAGAGCCACTAGACGGTGGTACCCGTATGCTTCACTCCACACTTCAGCCCTGTGATGTGATGTGCAGTCAGTACGTATGTCAGTCACCTTGGTGCACACGCAACACCACAGCCCCAATGGCCACACACCGTCCCCCCTCCTCCCCTCCCTTGCCCCACACGGTTGAGCAGCTAGTGCAGAGGACTGCATGTTTTCTGGGGCGCCTACACCGCAGAAGGGGTTGATCCTGGTCGAGCTGGGTTGAGCTGGGTTGAGTTGGGTTGGGCTGGGTTGCAGTGGTGTTGTCAGATGCAGGCGCTGCAGGACTGGGTGACAGTGGAATTGTCAGTGGCGACAACAGCAGACTTGGGAACGGCGCACAGCAGCACAGTGGACCCTGTCTGAGCCAACACATTGGGCGCCTGGGGAAGAGGGGAGAGCAAAGGGGGGGAGGAAGTGATAAAAGGGGAAAGGGGAAAGGGCGAGGAACAGAATAAGTGTTGTTAGGCAATTGGATTGCCATGGTGTCATGGTGAAACAGAAGACTTGGGCACAGCACACAGCAGCACAGTGGACCCTGTCTGAGCCAACCACATTGGGCGCCTGAGGGTGAGGAGGGGATACAAGGGAAGCACAAGGCAATCCAATTGGATTATTGACCACAAGGAGGGGATGCATCAGCAGACCTGGGCACGGCGCACAGCAGCACAGTGGACCCTGTCCGAGCCAACCACATTGGGCGCCTGAGGGTGAGGTGAAGGGGGGGAGAGGGAAAAAGGGGAAGGGTAAGGTTAAGGAAGGGGAAGGGGAAGGGGAAGGTTGAAGGGAAGGGGAAGGTCGCGGGGAAGGGGAAGGTTGAGGGAAAGTGGAAGGTTGAGGCCAAGAATTAGCATCAGACAGTTGATTCGTTGGCAGCAATCAGAGCAGGCTTGCAGACAAGGATGTAGTTACAATCGGCAATGGAAGGAGACAAGGCAGGAGAAGGAGAGGCATGATGAACAAAACACGGCTAGCATCACCTTAACCATAAGCGTCGACGACTTGTTTTCGACCCCATTTTTTTTTTCCTTTGTTTTTTTTTTTTTTTCAAAGAAGCAGCCTGTCTTACCATGAGGGTGGCGTTGTTGTTCCAGTAGGTGGCATTGCAGAGAGTCATGTTGGACGCATCCAGGTGAATCATGGCTCCTTGCTGCACATTCCACAATCACATAAAAATACGAAGCAGAATAAGAAAAACAAATGCATGTCTGGTTGACAAGTACACTGCAGTGTTAGCTACACTTCGAGCAAGCACATTTCAAGCACATAGTACACCCTACCACGCGAAGCCCATACAGACTATGCAGCTACCCATTCGCCCGTTTCAACCCCTGCGTCACACTACATTAGTACTCGTCAGTCCAAAAAAGTTTTTCTTCCCAGCTTCACACTACGCTACTCTTGCTCATGCACCCTTGTTTCTCCTCTCGTCCCCTCTTCCTTCAAGATTTTAACTCCTTTACTCAACCCCCAGATCAAGCGCCCTTGGCACACAAGAAACTGCCGTTCCAACCCATGAAAGGTTCCCCACCCACTCACTCACTCACTCACTCACTCAGTCACACGCTCACTCATTCACACACTCACACTCAGTCACTCACGCACACACGTGCGCGATCACGCGCTCACTCAATTAACGGTAAATGACGAGACCATACAAAAAGACCACTCACTCACTCCTTCACCGTCACCCGCCCACTCCCCACCTCCACATTCCTGCCCACTTCATGGAGAAAGTCACACTAACTCATTCACTCACCCCGGCTTCGTTCGCCGTGAACTGCGACTTGCGGATCGTCGCCTGCGTGCGCAGCAGCATCGAGATCGCGCCGCCCGCCGTCGACGCGAGGTTGCGGTGGAAGATGTTGCCGTACAGGCTCAGCGTGCTGCCGTCCGCCGCGCCGATCGCGCCGCCGAACCCGGCGATGTTGCGGATGAAGTGCGACGCGGTCGAGTAGAGCTTGCTGCCCTCATCCACCTCGATCGCGCCGCCGCCCGCCGTCTGGTCGGGAGGGGGGATGGGGGGAGGGGAAGGGGGAACGGGGGCGGTGGAGGCGGAAAACGAGGACGCGTGAGAGGGGGAGAGGACGGAGAGAGGGGAGGGGGGCGGTGCTTTGAGCCCAAGCGCAGGCGCGTATGAACGAGATTGCAGGGAGAGGAGAGCGGGAGAGCGGGAGAGCGGAAAAGTACCTACACGGTACACACACATACCGTGCCGAAGGCGGAGTTTCCGCGGAAGAACACGCGGTTGAGGATCGCGACGCCGCCGTTCACGAGCAGCGTGCTCCCGCCGCTGCCGTCGCGCGTGTACCCGCGGCTGAGCATCACGAGCGTCAGCTGCAACCGCCCGCCGCGAGTCACGGTGAAGTGCCGGTACTTGCTGCGCCCATCGATACGGCACAGCTTGAACTGCCATGGCGAAGCGGGAATGAACACGTAAGGGGAGCGAGAGAGCGGGAGAGCGGGAAAGCGGGGGAGCCGGGGAGTGGGGGAGGCGCGAGGTGGGGAAGCGGGGGAGGGTGGAGTTGGGAGGTGGGGGAGGCGGGGGAGGCGGGGGACGGGGGGAGCGGGGGAGGCACAGCACACGGCAGTCATTGAGCATTCGAGTCGTCGTTGAAGCATTGAACATTGATCATTGAGCATTGAGACTTGGATCGTCATTTATGCTATCAATACTTGTCACCCTCCAAGTGTTACACCGCTTGTAGTCGTTGGTCGCCACTTGGTCTAACCGTTACTTAGTCGTTAGTCGCCGCCTCATCTGCTTCTGCTGCGTGGTTTCCTTCCCCACAGCGTGCCATGGTTCTTTTCTCTCCCGCTAGAGCCGCACTTTTCATTGCTCACTCCCCTCGCCTCCTCTCACCTTAAGATCAGCGCAAGTCGTGGCATGGCCGCGAATCGTGACGGACGTCGTTATATTTGGCAGCGGTGACGTCAGAATCACCGTCGCGACCAGCAGGATCGGTTTCCCGGCTTTAATCGCCGCTCGTAATTGCGCCTCGGTCCGAACCACCACTTCGTTCGCCGTCGCGCCGAGGTCTTGCGGAGTCGCGTCGGCCGGAGCTTGCGTCGTCATGGTACTCGCGAGAGAGATCTCGCTTCGAGAGTCCTCCACTGCTCTCGCCCGGCCGCTGCTGCTTCCGAAGCTGCTTCCGCCATCGGCGGCGGCGGCGGCGCTGCTGCTGCTGCTGCTGCCGCTGCGGTGATGGTGATGGCCTTTCTTTTCATGCTTGTGCTTCCCGCCGTGTTTCCGGCCGTGTTTCCCGCCGCCGTCTCTGATTCCAATAGCGGGGGACGGACAGAGCGCGGCTGCTAACAACGCGGCTAGTAACGCGAGAACTAGCAGGTCGCGCCTCAACGCCCGAGTCGCCCTGCTCCTCGGACGCGAGTACGACGACGCCGCGGAACGCGGCAAGGAAGAGCACGAGGAGGAATTCGGAGGAGGGGCCGAGGAGGAAGACGCGAGATTTCGTGATTGTGAGCCGACGGGAGTGACTGAAGCGGGGGTGGGTGAAGATCGGAGAGAGGCGGGAGGAGAGGAGAAGCAAGTGGGGGACGAAGGGGGAGCTGGTCTCAAAGCGTCCTGCGGGTATAAGCATTGGCTGCTGCCGTTTTGCCGTCTGGTAGCTGCCATGGCGACAGTCCCTGCCTCGTCGCTTGTCCGCTCCCTTTCTATCTGCTCCTCGTATCGCCCTGATGCCTGTCCTTTGCTCCTTGCTCCGTCTGAAAACTTGTGTCTTCTGAAACCCCCTTTTTCTCCGTCCAGCGAACTCGAGCGGCCTAAGTCCGGATGTCTCGAGCTACCAAACCCGAACGGTCAGAAGTACAACAAACCGGATGGGACTGCGCACGATCTTTGAGACGTGTAAGAGACTCAAACAAGAAGAAGCGGCTGGGAGTGCAAACCCTCTAGCTTTGCGTAGCTGCCCGCGTTGATACTAGTAGCCACAACCTACAAGAGTGAACTGCGGCGCTACGAGTTACGAGAATAAAACGCCCATCTCCGCTGTGTGGCGGTCCGTCAGGTGCTTTGAGCTAAAAGTGGTCCCGGCGATTCAATCTTCAAATAGTGTCTAACGTGCCAGCTACCAGTGCAATCACTAGTTAGTCCCGGTGTAAGTGTCTTCAGATTCGGTCCACTCTTTACAAGACGGCCGTTCTGGCACCGAGCAGCCCGACGCTACTTAATCGACCTTCGGCTGACGATGGGAGAAGCCGCGCAGGCCTGAACCAGCGTTCCTTGTTTTTGTGAAGAGAGGAAAAAAAAAGAGTTTGTCATCTAAGGTGACGTAAGGACGCTAGTCGAAGGACAGTCGGATTCAACGACAACGGGGATATGTGGTACGAATGATATTAAAGTCTAGACAGAAGGTTCTGAAGTCTACAGAGACGATAGGATGTAGGAAAACGCTGTGACGGTCGGAGGGTTCGAGCAACGCGTCGCGAGCCGATCTGTCAACGCATCTTCAAAGACTCCGTATACGAAGGGCGACGAGTTTCGTTTCGCCATGTTGGGGGAAAAAAGCCTAGGAAAAAAACAAAACTACAAAGAAAATGGCGGGGGAGGAAGAATACTGAAGCCGCAGGCACTTGGTCAGGGCTGCTGGAAGTGCCGTGTTGCGAAACAAGCAAGTGCGAATGGGGGATTTGGAGGATGAAAGGAAAGTGGGTTGACCTGGAGTGGGTTTGACAGGAAAGCTGACTGCAATTTGGTGAGAACGTGCATGCAGGTGTGATTCATCGACTGATGGAGTCGGCGGGGGAGACGGATAGGAAGGCGCGGAAACAGTGCTCTCTGAACACCCGACTCGGATTCGGATTGAGGAGTGAATTTTGTTGTTGAAACGGAGCGGGAGGGAGCGAAGAAAGTTTTAGAGCGATGAAGCACGCTGCAGTTCGGTTACGTTTCCATGGATCCCCGTCAGTTTGAATAAGAGTGGATGTCTTTTCACGTACCCGATTCAAATTGCGCGTGAGAATGGTTGGCAGAGCGAGGTCAGTCAGCGGAGTTGGCGCGTAGAGGCGCAGAGTTTCTGCGGGTGGTGTTACCGACGGTCGCTGGAGGCCCTTGGCAAGGGCTGTAAGTGGAGAAGCGCGGCGCCACAGGCGGGGGAGCCTCGACAGTTGAGCGGGTGCTGCTGCTGGACGAAGTGTTGTTACCCGCTAAGAAAAGCGAAGTCATGGTCTTCAACTCGTATTTGTAATAAGGATACACTAACACATTGCTGTGACTGTACGGTTCGCTGAGCACGATTGCTTACTTAAACGTAACAATTTCCCAGCTAGAACGGGTGGTTTACTTCTCTTAAGCAGATACTTTCATACCAGGTGCAGCTCACGGCGCGTTCCCGGCCTAGGGTCTTCCGGACATTTGGGTCTTCCTAAATTGTGGGATCCAATCCCAAAATTCAAATCTCGAAACGCGGACTTTCCGATTGGATCCCACAATTTCGGAAGACCCGAACGCCGGAAGACCCGAGGCCGGGAATGCGCCCTTAGAAAGCTAGATCCATTCTGCCACTGGGAAAGGGAAACCGATTCGGGTGTGAACTGTCAACAAACAGGAATCAGGTGGGCAGGGAAAAGAAGAAGTTGCCAGCGTTTGGCTGGGGTTGAAGCAGCGCAAACATCAGCGTGGCGCTGCGATAGTGAACGACGACGTGGCGAAGCGCGGACAATTCGGCCGGGTCGGGGAAAACTTTGACATGGTACAGTACTTTCAGCTATTGTCGCCACCACCCGAGGTAACGAGCTGGGTCGGGCTGGGGCTTGTGCTGGGCTACACGCAATTCTGGGAATCTCTCGCTACGGAACGTTGTCAAGAAACCCCCTTTGGCTCGTGGTCAATGACTGACAATCAGTGGCGCGAGTTGCGGAAGCCCCACGGTTGTGTGCAGAATGTCAGGGCTTCCACTATACGTCCTTGTTATGAATATTTCCCATAACCTGCTAAGCTGATGCAACAGATTCCGTTTTGCTATCGCTTTAGACGCTCACCTATGTGTCCCTTTGAAGTAGCACCTCAATCCCTCGTACGTTAATCTGCTCAAATGAATTTATAAAAAATACTATTCCATGGTAATTAATATGGCTACGCTTTGTAATGTTATTGTGTCATGCCTGTACTTTTTTAAAACATGGAGCCCAATGTTATTTAGTGTTTTAAAACAGAAATGTGCAAGTCAGCTTGTTCTTACGGTGAGTGAACTTTTGTTCGCGCAATAGGCCACAGGCAGCTGGCTCCATATTTCTGGCTGCTCCACGTCATCCTCATCCTTCATGCCATCGTGGCGTTTCTCTCCATACCATCACAGCCTTTCCCAACCCAGTGTCAGGCTTCCCCGTGCCACGCGTACACCAGTTTGCTTTTCGCCTCTCCCAAACTGACAAGGCTTTCGTCCTCCGCGCACCAATGAGCTGCCAGGGTTTATCTCGGGACTTGCGGCCACACATGCCCTCCCGCGCCATACCCAACCCTCGATGTCTGTCCCCCCAAGCCCCCACCTGCGGAAGGTCGGGACAAACCTTTTCCCCATTCCCTCACCGCCACCAGCTTCTTCCCCCTTTCTACATCATTTCCCCAACATTTTCCGCCATTCCCTGCAGTTTTTCCGCCATTCCCCCCCACATCAGACCTCTGCCCCGCCACAAGCAGCAGTCCTCTCCATCCCTTCCATTCTCTCCCCTAATTCGACCAGACGACTCCCAAGTTTGCACTGATCAACTCGCCGCGTTTGGCGCTTTAGACCTCCTCGCTGCGGCAGTCTCATCAGCTGAGGACCATGTCATTCGCACGGTGTTTATCGTCGTCTGCGACGGCAGCGGCGACGGCGTCGACCAGCATGCTGTCGCTCACCGCGTCGTTCCAGTCCATGTCCGTGCGCGCTTCGGCCAGCCGCGCCGCCCCTGCTCAGACCTCCCGCGTAGTTTCACGGTCCCCGTTTCTCGGCGCGAGACCCGCTGGGGCTCGGTTCTCTCCTGTCGCAGATCTGCTTCCTGTGGTGAATGCGCCGTCGCAACCGGCGTCGACGCAACTGAAAGTGGTGGCGAAGGAAGGTTACAAGCTCAAGACGCACAAGGTAGGGATAAAAAAGCATACCACGTGCCTCTTGAACGTGCTGAAAAATATTTACTTCGCTACTCCCGTCCCTTTCCCTCACCCCTACTCCCGTCCCCTTCCCTCACCCCTACTCCCGTCCCCTTCCCTCACCCCTACTCCCGTCCCCTTCTCTCACCCCTACTCCCGTCCCCTTCCCTCACCCCGTCCCTTCCCTCGCACTCATTTCACGAGCTGGATTCCTTTTTAAGCTCATCTCTTCGTACCTCTTTTCCTTCCGCCCTTCCTCTCTCTCCTCCTCGCTCGCCTCTTTTGGTTTCGTTCAACAATTGGAATATCCTTGTGCTCTCATCCCCTATTTGTATTGTATTTTTACTTTACCCGCTTATTTCTTAAATCAATTTTCCCATTGGGTTCCATTTGCTCACTTCTTTCCCACCTACACCGTTACGTCACCCTACGAGACTGCTTTTCCCCTTCGCTCCCGCCGCCCATCTCCTCTCCTTCTTTCCCCGCTCGCCCGCCCCCCCCCCCCTCCTCGGCTAAGCTTCCGCCAAGCGCTTCCGAGTGACGGGGTCACGCAAGTGGGTGCGCCGACGATTTCTGAGACGCCTCAAATGTCCCCCTCACCATCCACCCGTCCCCTCCCCCCACCCTCCCCACCTCCTCTCCCCTCCCTTCCCCCGTTCCCTACACCCTCTTCTCGGCCAGGCTTCCGCCAAGCGCTTCCGAGTGACGGGGTCAGGCAAGGTGGTGCGCCGACGGGCGTGGCGCGCGCATTTGCTGAGCAAGAAGAGCATGCGCCGGAAGAACCGCCTCGCGGGCACGGTAAGTCTCGTGCCGCGAATGGCGCTCGTGTCGGAGTTGCATAAAACCTAACCGGCAATTAGCGAGTCGGCTAAGAATGGCGCGCGCGTGACAGTGACGTTCTTTTATTAGCAGCTCGCGCTTTTGATGCGGCTTGTATCGGGGTTCTGTTGAGACCTTTCTTGGAGCCTCAGAAACGGTACGCAGGATTTTGAGCTGGCTGATCAGCGAAGCCTCGTGTTAACTGCTTGCGACGCGCCGGAGGAATGTGGAATGCGGGGTGTAGCGGCTTGAAAAGCGCATGAGAGCACGACTGAGGGACTTTTGAGTCGACGTAAAAGGAATGTGGGGCGTAGCGGCTTGAAAAGCGCGTGGGATCATGACTGGGAGAATCGTGGGCAGGCCTCGCGCGCGTAGGCAGCGGTTAGCGTGCGCGCGCAAGGGCGCGGCGGTAGCGGTAGCGGACCGTTGTGACAATGTAGCGGACCGTTCGTGTCTTTTTTTTTTCCAATTCGGGGATAGAGGGAGAGGGAGTGGCGGGAGGCGTCAATGTGGTTAGAGGGAGAGGGAGAGGGGGAGAGATCACGGGAAGGGCCCCGGAGAGCTTGTTGTGGGAGCTGACGTGGTGAATAAGCTAGCTGTTTCGGCTGCTGGTCCCTGGAGCGTTGGAATGGGTCAGGAGTTTCTAGCGGTTGGACGGGGCTTGGTTCGGTGTGGCGGGCGCTGCAGGCCTGGCAGGCACTGCCGGGAAGACGACGGAGGGAGAGAAGCGTACTGAAAGAAGGAGGGTTAAGGAGAGTCGCTTGGCGGGTGGGCACTCACCGTGGGCGCTCACCGTGCGCGCTCAGGGGACTTCATCTCAAGCTGCTGTGGGTGTTGAGATCCTAACATGCTTTTCAGAAGGCCACGTGGCGAGGGAAACAGTCGAGAGCTGATTGCGAGGCTAGTGGGCGGTTATTCGGATAATAATGGGATATTGGTGGAGATTAATGGGAGAACTGGCAGAGGCTACTGCGGCTGTGGCTACTATCGTGGGTAGTGATGGTCATGGTGATTCGGTCATTCGGTGGGTATGGCCCTGGTTTGTTCCAGTGTGTCTGGGTCGCATGCATGACATGAGAAGAGAATGAAAACTCGCAAGGGATTATTAACCTTGGGGAGTTCTGGAAGGATTTTCACGTGGGGTGGTGAAACCGGCGTGCGCTTGAGCCTCCCTCCTCCTCCCCTCCCCCAAGTCCCCATCCACCCCCACCCACCCTCCCCCAACCACGCCAGCCAATGCGCACTACGCGTTCCCTCTCTAACTCTCTTTCTTCCCGACTCCACTTTTCACCACCACCTCCCTCCCCCTGCCCTCCTGGTTCCTACCCGTACTTCTCTCATTTCACCCCATCTTCGTTCACTCTTGTCCTTTATTATACCATGGTATTCCGAGGCGACTTGGATAAGTTCGTGTGGCTTTATATCCGCTCTCACACTGCCTTCCCCTCCCTCCCCGCCTTGCCCCCATCCCCCTCCGCCCGTATATACCCTTCCAGCCGTCTCCCAATGATAACCTATACAGACGGAGGTGTTCTGAGGCGACTTGGGCAACCATTCGTTACACCCATTGTGCTCCCTCTCCTCCCCCTCCGCCCCCTCCTCCTCCCCCCCTTCCCTCCCCCAGCTCCCCGCCCCCCGCCCCTGCCCTGTCTCCTCATGTTACTCCTTGCAGACGGAGGTGTTCCAAGGTGACTTGGACAAGATCGTGGGTGCCATGCACTATGTCCACTGCGCTGTCGCCACATTAATCCCCCCTCCTTTCCCTGCTCCGTCTCCCCATGGTACCCTGTGCTCTGTGCCCCATGCAGACGGAGGTGTTCCGAGGTGACTTGGACAAGATCGTGGGCGCCATGCCTTACCTCAAGGTGAACCGCAATCGCCTGCCGCCCTCTGCTATCGTGTATGAGGAGGAGGAGGGTGAGGAGGATGCCGAGTAAACCTGCTGCTGCTGAGGAGGGTGCTGCTGGTTATTTTGGTGCTGCTAGTGCTACTGGTGCTAGTGCTGATGGTGCTGCTGCAAGGGGTGCTGCCTGTAGTGCTGTTTTTGTTTGGAAGGATTACCTTATGCATCCTGTTGAATGTACTGCCACAGCATTTTAGTACGTCTTTAACAAAAGAATAGTACCTCTTAATGCTTTCATTCAAGTACATTGGTGAGGGTTCCTAGAATTTCTGCCTGATGGATCAGCCGTTTAGGTAGGTTCTTTAAAAATATCAGACGTTTTTATTTGGGAAAATATGGGAATGGTAACATACATGGGGCTCTATAACACGTACGGTAACCATAACAATGAATTTTCACGCGTTTGGTAACTCGATTCACGCATTTGGTAACTATACACTGGCAAGCCATCACGCGAATGGTAACTAGAAGAAACCCTCGTCAAACTTGACCCTGATTCTGGTTTTTCCCGCTCGCGCCAGACTGAATTGACGAGTCCTGAAGCACGAAATTCTGACACACTTTCCGAAATTCTGACACACATTCCGAAATTCTGACACACTTTCCGAAATTCGGACTATTTCGTAAAAAGTTGCTGTTTTAAAAACCGTTTATAATATAATGCGGATATTATGGCGCTCGCGGAATTTTGATTTCACTTAATTCTATCGTACAACCGGGGCAAAAGATATATACCCCTTTCGGATGGCAAATGATTTTGAGAGCATCAACCCTAAAATCCTTGCGACAAGGCGTTCAATGTTATTTCTACAATAAAGGCATGCCATTCGGAAGGGTATTATTTTTCCACCTCCAAAATTATCCCACGTTGCATGAATTACACAATTTTAAATAAAATTATTGTCTCTTTTCCGGGAAACTTTCACCATTTTGCAATTATGCAATCATGCTTGCAAAAATATAATTGTACTTGTTAGTACTATATTTCCGAGCTTAAAATAGATATGAAACTACTCTGAAACTATTTGGTCCGTGGTAATTGAACAAACGCAATCCTTCAAGCGGCGGGAATCGTTCAATATCGGTAAAATGGTCCGTGAAATCTTTCAATTTAACAAATTCCTCTTAGTCAGGATCATTTCGGTGGGAGTTTCATCTAGTTACCATTCGCGTGATCATTCGCCTGTGCTAAGTTACCAATTGCGTGAAACGAGTTACCAAACGCGTGAAAATGTACTGTAATAGTTACTGTACGCGTTAAAGAGCCCCACGTATGTTACCATTGGCATACTTTCCCTTTTTATTTCTTCATTGAAAATGACCTACCTGTATGTAATAAGTCAATATGCGATTTGGGAGATCTCCATCTACGGTACATTTCATGTCCAGCAAAATAGTAAGGTCGCGCTATCTCCACAAAGCGAAGGGTCAAGGTTTTGACGAGAATTCTCGCTCCTAGTGACTACACCGCAGAATTCTCTACAGGCAGACTTCGCTTTTAGACAAGACACATAAGCCGAGGTTAGAATATATGTTTCGAATAAATCAGACGAAGGGAATACTGGAGCAAGACAACAAACGCCTACAGACGGTGCCTTCACGAATACAAGTGTACCACCAGCTCTAGCCTGTAGCCTTTAGACTGTAGTGCTCCAAGGGTAACCTAACAAGAACACTCAATTAAACTACCAGTGTTGTGCACTGGGCCCGAAGGTCCACCTCCCCTGTACTGTCAGCTACACTACACACACATTTACATAACCCATCCACACCCAACACATGTATACCGTCCATGCAGCATGTACACATGCATATGTGGCGCCTTACGGCGCCTTCTTTGCAATCCCTCACCTCACCACACCACCAGTAGGCAGGTTCTGTATGTGCTAGCTACTGGTGGAAACAAGGTTGCTTGCTAGGTTAGCTGCATCATTCCTTGCCAGTGCCCAGGAGGAACCGACTCGATTCGAACAACTGAGACTACCATTACTGGTGTGCTGGGAATAACGCATGGGTAGTCCTGACCCTGTGACTCGCTGTGATGATGATGGTTCTGCTGCTGCTGCTGCTGCTGCTGCTGCTGCTGCTGCTGCTGCTGTTGCTGCTGCTGCTGCTGTTGCTGCTGCTGTTGCTGCTGCTGCTTGTGCTGGTGCTGCTGGTTCTGTCAGTGGTGGGGATTGGTTGGTCTCAGGAGGGTCTGGCATGGAAGAACCGTAGCATCATGGTGTAGAGGTCGTTGGGGTCGATGGGCTTCGTTATGTACCTGCAGGTGGGGTGCGGTGGAGTGCAGCGGGGTGCAGTGAGGTGAGGTGTGACGAGGTGGAATGGAGTGTGGTAGGGTAGAAGTGCGGTGTGAAAGGTGTGGAGTGGTGTGGTGTGGTATGGAAAACAGGGACGTGTCACAGCATAGTGGACACGTTTTGAGTCGACTATTGAGTCGACTATTGGATGCATGTACGAAAGCATGGAGGCGTATGGAAGCGCACTGCAATTTATGGCTGCACGAACATTCCAATCACCACCCTCGTCCCTTCCCTTCCCCATGCCCATGCTCATCCCTATCCCCCTCCCCATGGCCCCCTGTTTCCATGCCCCCTGTTTCCATGCCCCCCTGTTTCCATGCCCCCTGTTCCCATGGCCCCCTGTTTCCATGCCCGCTTGTTCCCATGGCCCTCCTGTTCCCATGCCCCCCTGTTCCCATGGCCCTCCTGTTCCCATGCCCCCCTGTTCCCATGGCCCTCCTGTTCCCATGCCCCCCTGTTCCCATGCCCCCCCTGTTCCCATGGCCCCCTGCCCCTGTCGCCCCCTGCCTTTCACTGACCCGTCCATGCCGGCCTGGCTGCATTTCTCCTTGGTGCCCTTGAGCACGTCTGCTGTCAACTGGAGGCAACGAACAGGGGTCAGGAGGGATAGAGAGGTGTGGAGAGGGGTGGAGAGGTAGAGTCGGGATATCAGCAGTTTTCCCTAGTGCCCTTGAGGAGCACGTCTGTTGTCAAGTAGTAGCGGCAAAGAAGGGCAGCGAAGGGCTTAGAAGAGAATACAGGGATAGGGGTATAGAGGGGCAGAGAGCGGTAGAGAGGGTTAGAGAGGGACGGAAAGGGGCAGAGAAGGGGGAGCAAGAAAGCAGGGCAGGAAGGTTGACCGAGGAACAAGGGAGCACATGGGTAGAGGGAAGAGCAGAGAGGTGGAGGCGAGAGCAGAGGGGTGGAGGGGAGAGCAGAGGGGTGGAGGGGAGAGCAGAGGGGTGGAGGGGAGAGCAGAGGGGTGGAGGGGAGAGCAGAGGGGTGGAGGGGAGAGCAGAGGGGTGGAGGGGAGAGCAGGCAGCAGGAAACAATGTGAAGAGCCAAGAAACAACAGCAGTGTGCGGCGCGAGGAATGGCAAGAATGAAGCACAAGTGGAGGGAAGAGACAAGGAAGGAAAGGAAAGGAGCATGAGATGATGGTGCGGAAGGAAGGGTAGTAGGGAGAGTGTAACCAGGAGAGGGAGGGAGGGAGGGAGGGAGGGAGGGAGGGAGGGAGGGAGGGAGGGAGGGAGGGAGGGAGGGAGGGAGGGAGGGAGGGAGGGAGGGAGGGAGGGATGGAGGGAGGGAGGGAGGGAGGGAGGGAGGGAGGGAGGGAGGGAGGGAGGGAGGGAGGGAGGGAGGGAGGGAGGGAGGGAGGGAGGGAGGGAGGGAGGGAGAGAAGGGCTTACAGCAACGATGGGCACGCGTGGGGATTTGTGCTGCTCCTCCAGCTGCCTCCCTCTGCGACACGTCTCGTAGCCATCCATCTGCACGTGGTGTGGCATGGCATGGTATGGCATGGCATGGCATGGCATGGCATGGCATGGCATGGCATGGCATGGTATGGCATGGTGTGGCATGAAATAATGTGGCATGGCGATATGAACGTGGGAATGGGTGGCATGGTCATAGAAGAGAATTTGGGCGGGGAGAAAGGAGGAGAGCAACACAGGGTTTGGATGAGAGCAGATCTGGAAAAAAGGAAACATGCAAACATGGCGCATGCATGCATGCATGCATGTAAGATGCATGGCAAGGGGAGGATGATTGCAATGGAGGAAAAGAGGAAGGGAGAAGAAAAACATGGGAGGAGCGGAGAATGGGAGAGCATGGGAGGGAGGAGAAACACACTCACCTCAGGCATCTGTTTGTTGCAGCAACGAAAGGGAGGGGCATGGTGAGGTGGGGCATGGTGAGGGTAGTTGAAGCGTGTTGTGCAAGGTTCCAATCCGTCCATGCATGGGTATGCACATGCAACATACACACATCACATGCACACATGCACGCATGCACGCACGTGCACACATGCACACATGCACACATGCACCCACACACATCCATGCAAGAGAAACCACAAGATGCAGGAAAGGAAACTCAGTCAAGACAGCACGCGCAGCGTGCAAGTCTGCAAGCGGAGGTCGAACTGGTGTAGCAGCTGTAGCAGCTGTAGCAGTGAAACAAGAGGCCCATGTTTTCCAATCTCTCAGCACTTAATCACAGCCTGTGTCAATTCAAGAGAACTTGAAACCCCGCCTGTAAGTTTATGAAGACCAAGTCCTGTAGCAGTGGATATAGGAGGGGAACGCCTATCAATCTCAAAAGCAAACCAATCCCACAGTGACCCCACCTGTAGGTCCATGAAGACGAGGTCGAACTGGTGCGGCGGCTGTAGCAGCTGTAGCGCGCGCTGGCCACTGGAGGCTGTGGCGGTGGATACACCGTACTTGGACAGCATCTTGCATGCTACCCTCAGGTTCACTGCATGGGGGGGAGAGGAGAGGGAGGGGGGAAGGGTGAGATACGGGGTGAGCGACGGGGGGAGGGGAGGGGAAAAGGAAGGGATTAGACAGCATCTTGCATGCAATCCTCAGGTTCACTGCATGGGGGTGAAGGAAGGGGGAAGGCAGGGGAGGCAGGGGAGGAAGGGTAGGCAGGGGAGGCAGGGGAGGAAGGGTAGGCAGGGGAGGCAGGGGAGGAAGGGAGAGGAGAGGGAGGGGGGGAAGGAAATGGGAAGAAAGGGAGTTGGACAGCATTTTGCACGCCACCCTCAGGTTCACTGCATGGGGGGGAGGGGAGAGGAGGAGATGAGCAAGAACAGGAAAAAAGGGGGCGGGCTTGGACGTGGAAAGGGGGAAGAGGGGGCAGCATCTTGCATGTTTGAGTCAACTGAAAACAGTCGACTGAAAACATTCGACTGAAAACATTCGACTGAAAACATTCGACTGAAAACATTCGACTGAAAACATTCGACTGAAAACATTCGACTGAAAACAGTGGACATCTTGCATCTTCTCCCCCTTCTCCCTGTTCACTCAACCATACCCAGATCATCCACCCACTCACCCATGTTGCGTCATCCACACAAAGAATCCGCTTTCTCCCTGCGATTGATTTTTGAGAATTCTCAAAAATCACCCACATCACGACTCACCCCAAAAAGCCCAACGGAACGACTCAGCCCGCTCCCTCCCTGCCCCCCCCTCCCCCTCTCCCCCTCCCCGCCCACTCACCCATGTTGTCATCCACACACAGAATCCGCTTCCCCCGCATCATCTGCTGCAGTTTCTCCGCAACTGTCGCCCCGACCGGCGCCCCCGGGTTCGCCACATGGGAAGAATCCAGCCTCGACAGCCCCAGCGCCTGCACCAATGCCGCTCCCACAGACGCTCTCCGCAGCGGCTTCAGCAGCAGCACTGCGACTCCTGCTGCTGCTGCTACTCCTTCCACTTCGGGGCCTGTTCGGGCGACTACGAGGACCACTGGGCAGCGCGTGAAGAGGCGGTTAGAGCGGATGGCTGCGAGGGAGAATTGCCAGTTGGGTGTGTCTGTGTCGATTAGGATCACAGAGATGGGGGCAGGGGCGGTGGGGGGAGCAGGAGTGGTTGGGAGGGCACGAGGGGTGGTGAGAGGAGGGGCGGTTGGGAGGGTGGTGGTCGGGGGAGGAGTGGTGGTCGGGGGAGAGGGAGTGGGAGGAGTGGTGGCAGGAGGGGTGGGGAGTTTAGGGGTGGGTGCAATTGGAGGGGCAGGGGATGGGGCAGGAGAAGGGGAAACGGAGGGGGGAAGAGTAGCAACAGGGGCATCGGCCGAAGCAGCAGCATCAGTAGCGGCTGCACCAGTGCTGCTGTCGCTGCAGCATGTGGCAGTGACACTTGTGGTGGCGGTAGTGGTAGTGGTAGTGGTGGTGGTGGTGGTGGCGGTGGTGCTGGTGGCGCTGTCTGTGGCTGTGCCGGTGGCGGTGGTGGTGGTGGCGGTGGTGGTGTCTGTACTGCTATTACTGTTGTCACTGCTACCACGAGTGTTGGAGAGCAGGGCATCAAACAGAGTGCCACTGCTGCCCTGCTGCTGCTCGTGCTGCGCCTTGCAATGGGCCACAGACGACAGGAGAGTGCTCAGACTGCTGCTCCTGCTGCTGCTGCCACTGCTGCTACTAACGATACTGCCAGCACCAGCACCGCCGCCAAAGCTGCTGCTGCTGTTTGTAGTGGCGAGGCTGTTGCTGCTGCTGGCACCGCTGGTACTCTTGCTCTTGCAGGAGCTATCAGCACCGCTGCTCTCGCTGCCATCCTTTCTAACAACAGAGTCTTGCATTGAATTTTCCTTTTCCAGCAGGCTCTTTTCCCGCTTTCTTCCATCACCAATTCCCCCAGCTGCGTGCTCCCCTCCGTTACTCATCCCACCTCCTCCTCCAGAGATTGATTGCCCCTCTCCTTCAGCCCCCTCCTCTTCCTCCTCTTCCTCCTCTTCCTCCTCTTCCTCCTCTTCCTCTTCTTCCTCCTCTCCTTCCTCCTCCCCTTCCTCCTCCTCCTCCTCTCCCTCTCCCCTCTCCTCCTTCTCTTCCTCCGTACCATCACTCTCTCCATACCTCGTACTCTCCTTCTCACTCTCCTCTTCCTCTTCTCCCTCGCTCCGCTCCCCATCCTCCATGTCGCTCCCCTCATCATCACTCACCTCCTCAGCCTGCCCGGCCTTCTCGGCCTTCCCGGCCTTCCCTTGCTGCCCCTGCCCCTCTCGTCCATCATCCTTCTCCTGCACTCCCCGCCCCTGCCCCTGCCCCTGCCCCTGCTGCTGCTGCTGCTGCTGCTGCTGCTGTTGCGTAATCAGCCCCCTCTGACCCATCACAACCCCTCCAGTGCCCGGCAGCACCGCATTCAACGCGGAAAGCCTCTCGCTCTCCTTCTCAATGGCATCTGAGAACGTCTGCACAGACCTAGACACAACTGTGTGCGCGCGCCGCTGCTGCCTTTCCGGATTAGGATTCTCAAACACGTCTCTCTCAACCTCATCCGAGAACTTTAGCATCGATCGCGGCACGGCCGTGTGTGCCCGCACCAGTGCTCTCCCCCCCCTCCCTCGCGCCTGCGTGCGTGCCTTATCATTTGCATCAGCAGGAACAGCTGCATCACCAGAAGCAGCAGTAGCATTGGCAGTAGCATTGGTAGTAGCATTGGTAGTAGCATCAGCAGGATTAGCCGGGGCAGCAGCAGCATTAGCAGTAGCAGCAGCAGTGGCAATAGCAGGGGCAGCTGCAGCAGTAGTAGCTGTGTCAAGGGAACTTGGCATCACCTCTTCCTCCTCCACCACAGCAGCATACCTTCCCCTCATCCCGCGTCTCCCCCCTCCTTCCCCTTCCCCCCTTCCTCCTCCTCCCCCGCCTCCCCCTTCCCCACCCGCGCCCCCACCCATGGGGATAAGCGATGTGCTGAATGTTGCTGCTGCTGCTGCCGCTGCTGCCGCTGCCTGTGCTTGGATACTTCTGAGGGTTTGCGAGTCGTATGTTGCGAATTTCTTTGGCGGAGGGGGGTTGTAACCCCCACCCATACCCATCCCCATCCCCATACCCATACCCATCCCCATGCCCATGTCTGCGTCTGTTCCTCCATCCTCCCCCGTACCACTCCCATTCAACATCAACACCCCCTCCCCTCCCCTTGCCCCTCCTCCACCCCCTGTCCCCCACCCCTCTCCCTCCCCCCTCACCCTCCCCCCCACACCACCACCACCACAAACCCCTCCTCCTCCTCCTCCCTCTCCTCCTCCTCCTCCTACTCCACTCCCCCCCCCATCAATCCCCCCTCCCCCCATCCCCCCTCCGACTAGCCCTCCTAACATCGTCAAAGCAGCAGCACCCCCAACCATCTCCACCTGCCCCACTTCTAGAAACCCTAATCTCGAACCAGCGGATCCCGCCACCACTGCTGCTTTCTTTCCCCCCACTCCCAGCAGCCGCTGCTGCCACTGCTGCTGGTGCAGCCATGCGGTTACATCCTGGTCGCCTGCTGCTGCTGCTGCTGTTCCTGCTGCTCCTGCTGCTGCCGCTTGCACTTGTGATTGTGCTTGTCCGCTTGCGTTCGGAGAGAACGGGGTCTGATTTCCCGCAGTGGTGGTGGCAGCACCACCACCACCACCACCAGCAGCAGCAGCACCAGCGGCAGCAGTGTTGGTGCTGGTGTTGCTGGTGCCTATGTTCCTGACACTGCTCATACTACTTCTCCTCCCACCGCCACCAGCAACACTCAAAGCACCACCACTTGACATGCCACCAGAACCATTGCCTCGATCGTATGCACTGCTGCTGCTGCTGCTGCTGGAATAATTCATTATATTCTGCTGCTGTAGCTGCTGCTGTGAAGTTTCATCTGAAGATCCCCCCCCCAGTCCTCTCTGCGTGCGAATACTCTGTGTAGAGACATTCGGCCTTGCAAAAGGAGAGACGGAAGAAGAGGGAGAGAGGGTGGAGGAAGAGGAGGGGGAGGCAGCGGAAAGTGAGAATTGAAAACCAGAGGGCCCCACCCGAATCTGCTGCTGCTGCTGGTGCGGCTGCTGCTGCTGCTTGCTCTGCTGCTGCTGGTACTGATACTGATACTGCTGATTCTGCTGCTGCTGCTGGTGGTGAGAGAGAGAGGCCGGGGGACTGAATTGATCCAGAATAGAAACGAGGAGACCCAGGCGGACCAAGTGTGCTTGCAGCACGGCTCTCTGTACCCGGTTTGCATCCACTACCAACGCGTGAAGGCCTTTCAGCCGCTGCAGGAAAGGAAGGTCTGTGAGGTCTGAAGGGAGAGGGGGAAGCGGGAAGGGGGACGCAGAGGGAGGTGCGGCAGAGGAGGAGGGTGGTACAGGGGGGGTCGCTCCTGCTGCTGCTGCTGCTGCTGGTGGTGGTGGTGGTGGGAGGGATTGTACGGAAGGGGGGGGCGGCTGGTGGAAGAGAGAGGCGGAGGAGGAGGAGGCTGCAATGAAGGGGGCGACAGTGGCGGTGGGGGCGTGCAGGAAGAGGTCGAAATAGAAGGTGCTGCCCACTGCCACTGTTGACTTGAGTCCCAGTGAGCCGCCCATTAGAGATACCTGCGGTGGTGGAAGGAGGGGAGGGGTGTGCGGGGAATGCAATGGGCGAAGGAGGGGAGGGAGGGGAGGGCGGGGAGGAAGGGATTGGGGAGAGGAGGTGAAGGAGAGGGGAGAAGAAGGGAAGAGAGGGGAGAAGAAGGGAAGAGAGGAGTGAAGAGAAGGGGGAGAAGAGTGGGGGGATGGGGGAGGGGCTTGACGAGAGGGGTAGACGACACAGGATAGGAGCGAACAGAAGACTGGCTGGTGAGGAAGGAAAGAAGCAGAGGCAGCCAGGGGAGCACAGATTTGGTTTTTAAGTCGACTCAAAAACCGACTCATCACACAAGGAAAGAAGCAGAGGCAGCCAGGGGAGCACAGATTTGGTTTTTAAGTCGACTCAAAAACCGACTCATCCACGAGGAAAGAAGCAGAGGCAGCCAGGGGAGCACAGATTTGGTTTTTAAGTCGACTCAAAAACCGACTCATCACACAAGGAAAGAAGCAGAGGCAGCCAGGGGAGCACAGATTTGGTTTTTAAGTCGACTCAAAAACCGACTCATCACACAAGGAAAGAAGCAGAGGCAGCCAGGGGAGCACAGATTTGGTTTTTAAGTCGACTCAAAAACCGACTCATCACACAAGGAAAGAAGCAGAGGCAGCCAGGGGAGCACAGATTTGGTTTTTAAGTCGACTCAAAAACCGACTCATCACACGAGGAAAGAAGCAGAGGCAGCCAGGGGAGCACAGATTTGGTTTTTAAGTCGACTCAAAAACCGACTCATCACACAAGGAAAGAAGCAGAGGCAGCCAGGGGAGCACAGATTTGGTTTTTAAGTCGACTCAAAAACCGACTCATCCACGAGGAAAGAAGCAGAGGCAGCCAGGGGAGCACAGATTTGGTTTTTAAGTCGACTCAAAAACCGACTCATCACACAAGGAAAGAAGCAGAGGCAGCCAGGGGAGCACAGATTTGGTTTTTAAGTCGACTCAAAAACCGACTCATCACACAAGGAAAGAAGCAGAGGCAGCCAGGGGAGCACAGATTTGGTTTTTAAGTCGACTCAAAAACCGACTCATCACACAAGGAAAGAAGCAGAGGCAGCCAGGGGAGCACAGATTTGGTTTTTAAGTCGACTCAAAAACCGACTCATCACACGAGGAAAGAAGCAGAGGCAGCCAGGGGAGCACAGATTTGGTTTTTAAGTCGACTCAAAAACCGACTCATCACACAAGGAAAGAAGCAGAGGCAGCCAGGGGAGCACAGATTTGGTTTTTTAAGTCGACTCAAAAACCGACTCATCACACAAGGAAAGAAGCAGAGGCAGCCAGGGGAGCACAGATTTGGTTTTTAAGTCGACTCAAAAACCGACTCATCACACGAGGAAAGAAGCAGAGGCAGCCAGGGGAGCACAGATTTGGTTTTTAAGTCGACTCAAAAACCGACTCATCACACGAGGAAAGAAGCAGAGGCAGCCAGGGGAGCACAGATTTGCAGAATGCAAGCAACGAAGCTGGGAGGGAGGGTTAGAGTGGAGGAGAGATGCTGGGCGACAAGGGAGGAAAAAGACGGTAGGGTGGGGGAAAGGGGGGTTGGGGAGGGGAGGGCGGCAGGAAGAAACATGGGGAAACGGAAGGAGGATGTAGGAAGAGCAGGAAGGAAAACAATCAGAGGAGGGGAATGATGAAGTAAGGGACAAGAGGAGTCCCTGGCGAGAGGGAGGGCGAGAGGGAGGGAGGGAGGGAGGGCGAGAGGGAGGGAGGGAGGGAGGGCGAGAGGGAGGGAGGGAGGGCGAGAGGGAGGGAGGGAGGGAGGGAGGGAGGGAGGGAGGGAGGGAGGGAGGGAGGGAGGGAGGGAGGGAGGGAGGGAGGGAGGGAGGGAGGGAGGGAGGGAGGGAGGGAGGGAGGGAGGGAGGGAGGGAGGGAGGGCGAGAGGGAGAGGGAGGGAGGGAGGGAGGGAGGGAGGGAGGGAGGGAGGGAGGGAGGGAGGGAGGGAGGGAGGGAGGGAGGGAGGGAGGGAGGGAGGGAGGGAGGGAGGGAGGGAGGGAGGGAGGGAGGGACTGACGAGGCGCTGTGATGATGCCGGTACGAGAGAGGGCTAGGGCGAGAAGGGGTGCGAGAAGCAGGGCAAGAAGGGGCGAGGGGGAGAAGAGAAGGGGAGAAGGGGAGAAGGGGAGAAGGGGAGAAGGGGAGAAGGGGAGAAGGGGAGAAGGGGAGAAGGGGAGAAGGGGAGAAGGGGAGAAGGGGAGAAGGGGCACTGACGAGGCGCTGTGAGATGGTGAGGCCGATGCCGGTACCTCCTGCCCGCCTGCTGGTG